TGTTTTGAGACTTTTTGGAAGTTAATTTTTCATATTTTGGTCTCTCTGGTGGAGACCCTGTCTCACTTTCATCCACTTCGATGCTCGTCGTACTTTTCTGGTCTTGACTTCAAGAAATTTTATCACAGAGCAACCCTGTCCCCGGTTCTTTCATTCACTCCCTTACCGATGGATTGTTTCCTCTATTTTATGAGTCCTTTGAGTCTTGATTAATCTGTTTTGGCTACTTTACCCCTTTTCAGTAAGTGTTTCAACGACTCAGTACTGTCTTTGGTGCTGCTCTTCATCCTTCAGATCTGGGTTCGTTACCTTCTTCAGCTTTTCTTCTCTATTTCGCCATACCTCGGATTTGATTTCTTCACTCGCCTCTTTGCTGACTCTCCTGATATTCGATTTTGTCTTCCCCTCCGTAGAATTCAGCTGTCGTGATACTGCCTTGTCATAGTTTGCTTGATTTAGGCTTGCGCCTTCTTATACCGATCCCTTGGCTCTTGACAACTGAAAACAACTCCTACGATGACGCTTTTACAACGAATGCGTTTTAAACGAGGACTGGTTGAACCTTTGTAGCGATTTTGATATCTTCATAAGTCATTTGAAGCACCGAAGCTAACCCATTTATTCATCCATTAGAACTATAGAGTCGACCTACTTCCCTTCAATAAAGATTTAGCATTTAGTTTTCGTCGTTTCAGACCTCAGTTCTGGTGGCATTATCAACGGATAACCAGAATCTTCACGAGTGATTGTCGGTGGCATTATTTATACCCCCCCCCTCCCCTATGCAAATAATTGTTAACGTTTGGCGCATGAATTTTCTTAAGTCATTTCAAATAATTTGAAAGGAGAACAATTTCAGCAGCTCCTGCTCTCCATTGCTCCCTTCTTTCTAGTGGTCCTTTGGTTGTTTACGCCATTACGCTTCGACGAGAGGACACGCGTCTTCTATTGGTTTGATGTATCTCAAGATCTCGGTGACCCCGATCAATCGCGTAGCCATCACTCGTGAGAGGCAGCAAGTATGAATTAGTCTGGGTGCAAAAATAAGATCTTTGGTGGATTTATTGGGACCACGAGTCAGAGACATGAATGTTAGAGTGAACTCTTTCGGTCGTTGACTTAGATCAGTTGCATCGATCAAATGGACTGAGGTAGAAGGATCTGTCTGAGAAGGTAGTGCTGAAGACTAGATCCATCATAAAGCAAATTAAGTAACACTGAGTCAGTTACAACCATCTTTATTAGTCGACGGGTCGCTCACCATTCTTTACTTTCCACAGTTCCTAGAAGCCTTCCAGCTACTCTGGCTGATGGATCCCTTCCTCAAATTCAGCGAAGCAATGGCAGTGGGGACCACGCTCTTTCACGATGTTGCAGCCGCTTTCCATGGTGACACAGCTATGGAGTCTGCCATGCTACCTCTAACCACTTCCTCCTCTACCTCCTCTCGTCAATTCTCTCTCATCGAACTCGAATTGGGCATGTGTGCTGCTCCTCAGGCATCCCTTTGCCTCTCAGCCTGCATCTCTAGGCTCCTTCACACCCCGCGGGAGCGGGAGACCGTCAACGGTGCCATTGCTGCTCTTAACCAAAAGCAGGAACAACAGCGGAGCGAAGCGCTGAACACCAGATTGACATCATCAGCGTCGGCGACGTTGGTAGAGGAGGATGAAGCGGAGGGATCAGGAGAAGCAGGTGAGGAGAGTACGCGACTGGCCAGTAGGCGGCTGCAGAACTCGCATATAAATACTGTAAAGACGTTGGCAGTGCCGCCATACGAGGTGTGGGAGCGGCGGCTGGCCGAACGACTCGCTCACTTGTATCAGGACATGCCTACGGAGAAGAGGATGGAAGATCCTGTTCGGGTATGTCGTGGAAGTGATTCAATAGATACTTCAATGGCCCCAGGTAGCTATTCGTACATCCACATTCATTCCTTAAAGTCATCAGTACTGGATAAACTACAAGTGTCACTGTGAAACTTCTGGTATAGTGAGTATAGAAGAATGTACCCCGTTGGAAAATGATGGACATTTGAATAACACCTTTGCCTCTTTCCTCCTTTCATTGACAGTTGGAGCGGCGTTACGGTATCTCGCAGGCCTTCTTCAACGTCTGCGGCCAGGACCAAAGCCCCTTAGAAGAGAAACGATTCCACGAGCTGACCGCCCAACAGCAGGCTCATATCCTACTTGCCCTTGCTTCCAGTGTTATGGTGAGTAGCTTATTCCTTTTGCTGCCGCAGTTGCACGAAGCTTTTGTTTGTTTGTAACTGTCTTTTTGCGCAGCTCCTAGCATCAAGTTTTACGGGTAGCTTTATTGTAAAGCCAATGAGAGACTGGAAAACCAGACTCGGAACTCCATGCATTCCCTACATTTCGTCTCCTTTTTGTCAAATCAGATTAAGTAGTTATTTGGAAGGTGGTGATGAATGCTGAATAATGTCTTCGATCACGTTTTGTGGGAATAAATTTTTAAATGAATTTAAAAGTTTACCCAACTTCTTTTCACCTCCAGCTTTCCAATGGCAACTTTGCTTCGGGTGAAAACCTCCGCTCCTCCGTGGACAAGACCCCCGACTGGGGGACCATACGTCCCACTCGCATTGGCTTCGATGCCTTTCGAGGTCTCACCTTTTTCCACTTTCCTGAGGTACTGCTTTCGGAGACGCCGCGTATTATGCAGTACCGTTTTCCCCCTCCCGATATCATTGATGACGATTATTTCTCCTCATCATCTTTGTGCCGTCCACCCCCGCCACCTCCAACACTTGATCCTCCCGTTTCGCTTCCTGGTGCGGTGGGCCGTCTGCCCACTTGGATGGAACCAAAACTGGCTCAGTTTGTTCGTTCCCACCTCCTGACTCTGATGGAACGGGAGGTGGAGGTGTTGGGTGCCCGTTGTAGCAAGCAACGAGATAGCAGCAATAACCGCAAAGCAATGAAGAAGGAGAAATCGAAGATGCGCAGTCTGACGGTCATCATGGAGCCCTTCCAAAGCACCGGGAAGGATTCGAAGATGGTGAAAGGGAGGACAAAAGCTAAAGCAAAACGAAGGAAGATGGTGGAACCGGCACAACCTAGTATGGACGTGAAGTTGGCAGACTTTGCATTTGTAAATAAGATCTGTTGTGGTGTAGTCCCGGCGTCGGCTGTGTATGCTAGGCAGAGTGAGTGGCTAATTATTTGGCTTTTTTTCGTCGAACCTGTGTAAATTTCCGATTCCTCTCTGAACCCTGAGCATTCACTTTCCCATTTACTTTTCCCTGGTTCTAGCTGGAGGCCATTCCTCGAGGAGCTCTTTGCGAGTCGTGGATAGTTCTGCGTCCTTGGCCGAATCCACAACAACTTTCACAAATACCTCAGAGGCTCCCACTCCGAATCCCCCCAAGTTCTTCCAAGAAGACGGAGAGGAGGATTCAAACTTGCCTGAATCGGTGAGGTGCAGCCCTAACCCTACGCTGATCATGTTGGATGTTTTCGTCCGCGAATACTCAACTTTTTTGCCTGTTTGATAATCCAGTTAAGCTTTAGTAAATGGTTCGGTGTCTTGCCTTCTTCATTCCTTGAAAGTTGACATCGGAGATGTCGTGTAAATAGAATGCTGAGGAACCCATAGGACTTAATACCTTAACGCGATCATTCCTGGTCTCCTGCCAGTCTCATTCAACTCCTGTTTCCGCACTTCAGCTCCATCACTCTGAAGAGGAAGAAAGAAAAGGCGTGAATCCTCAATCCAACGGAGTGCTGAAGAAGGACGACCCTGACGTTGACTGCGATGGCAGTAGTGCTAGCACCGGTAGTACGACACCCTTTCGGGAAGCTCTTAGTGAGGACGAAACGACTCCCACTGTCGATAGATTGAAAGAAGAGGGGGAAAGTGCGGCGGCAGCAGGGACGGTGATCAAAGATTCCGCGCTCCCGCGGTGCAATGGTATCATCACTACGAAAGTAGAGAAGGACGTGAAGAATGGTTCGATCACCTCCACCAATGATAGAGGCGAAATCAGTGATTTCGGAAAGGTGAAGGAGGAGTCGAGTGGGGAGAAAAAGGCTAAAGAAGTTGGGGAGTTAGTAAGTTGTGCCAAAATCGGAGCACTTTTCACCTTGTTTGTTTTGCGGTAAAGCCATTGAGTATGATGAGTTGAGTTTCTGAAGGTTGTCTGTGCCCTTTCATTTATCCTTCCATCCATCATCCTTTTTAGGGTTCTAAGTACGGTCCCCTTCATTGCCTTTCTCACAGATCGCTAAAGCAGCCGAGAGCGAGGTTGATACGAGTCACTGCTTCGACACCGTGGTCTACGATCTGGAATCTTTTTACGTCTTTCAACGTGACATTGCCTCACGCCTCGCAACCGGACGGCGGTTGTTGATCGAGCTCTCCACCGCCTGTGTAACTGTGGAGACCGCTACCGGCAATGATGATTGCTCCACCCTCCGCGCTGTCGTCGATCAAATTGCTGCAGAGTTGGGAGACGCAGTGTTGAAGCGAATCCAAGCCGATCCGCAGCTGACGGCAGCGTTGCAGCAGCAGGTCGTGAAGGTGGAAGTGGAGAAACCGAAGAAGGAGGAGGAGGCGGTTGAGACTAAACCGTCGAAGAATCCTCAAAAACGTCGGAAATCGGATTTTTCAGTGAGTCTGCTTTGCCCTTCTGCACTCGCTGTCTTACCTTGTCCTTTTCTGTTTTGAAACTGACCTCACTTCTTTAAGTCACTTATTTACTGGGCCGTGTGGTCGAATATTAAATCGGGGTTTTCCACCATCATTTGTCTTTCTTCATCACAGACTCCACGACCACGGAAGTCCGCCCGCACGTCGAGGGCGGAGGCGACTGCGGTAGCAGGAGCGGCGGAGCAGGAGGTCGAAGCAGAGTCAAAACCCACCTCCGCCATGCGACTCCTGCGTCTGCACGAGGAGGCGCTGGCTTCATTGACCGAGTTAGCAGACTCCTTGAATGCCCTGGAGGAGGAGGCAAAGGACAATGAGGAGGATCGCCTCGCTTCTGAACGTCTGGCGGGGCTGCTGCTGCGCAAGGACATCGAGACTCGACAGCCCAAGCCAGTGGAGGTCAGTACTAGCGTGCTGATTGCCGTAATTACTTAGTTATTCTGTCACCCACCTACCTATCCTGGATCCATCAATTCATTATCTAGCCTTCTATTCATTGGATTTCTTCCGATTCCTCACCAACCGTTCTTTTTCCTGCTTTTACTTTTTCTGAGGTCGATCCATAATGGTGACGATAATTGCTTCCTCCAAATTTTAGAAGCCAAAGCCAAAACCACGGGTGTCAATAACATCGCCGACACTACAGACTCAGACGCAATCCCAACCACTATCTCAACCAAAGACATCGATGCCCTCGGTAGAGAACCATGTCGCATCACCGCACCCCCTCCGTCCTCCTCATCCATCCACAATCACTGTCCCCACGACTAGAATTCGCCTTTCCCCACCGCCGTCACTGTCGCGCTTTCCTACTCAACCCTCTCCAATCTTCATACGGCGTGTGCCACCTCCACCGCCAACGCAGCCGTCGACACATCGACCACGACGGATATTTCGGTTCTACGACACCCTCTTCACAGAGGAGGGGCGACCAGTACGACTTGAGGCAAATGGAGCTGTGGTGTATATTCCACCGGAGAGTGTCCCCCTGGGTCATCGACAGATGGCGATGCAGATGATTGAACGCTTCCGTGCCTCCTCCGCCGCTGCCGCTACCGCCACGCCCCCTTTCTGAGGCGAATTGGGGCAATAGGGAGGGGAATTGAATGCATTTATAGTGATGCGGCTCAACTCATCGCCTTACCTACCTCTACTCATTTTGTTGCAGTCCCCCCTTGTCTCCCCTGTGTAAATAAGACAGTTTGCCTCCATATCTCTCTCTCTGTGGATGACTTTGTGGAGTTATCTGTCTGTCGATGGATGTGTGTTTTGACATGTTGCCAGCATGTACTAGGGTTTTGGAGGGGATTGTTTAAATCGGTTGGACCTGATAGGGCTGAGGGTGAGTAATTGGGTCGGCTAGGTGTTGGTGTTGTTATTCGGTTGTCAGGTCATCTATCCGGGGGTAGGTATTGGTTAGCTTCTACCACCCACGGCGTTGTGGAAGATGATGATTGTGAGACGTGTTTGTTTGAACGCACCTTTTCAGGTGGCAAGCGGGTAGATTGGGTCAAGGTCTTGACTGCGAAGGTATTATCCATTGTCGGGGAGGAAAGCTCGGGTTTCCCTATTAAACTTTCTTTGTAGTGTCCTACATTACGCGGTTGAAGATGTCTTCCACTCCTCCAAGGGTACGATAACGAAGGTAGAGGAGCAAAGTGACCATGCCGCGTTGATATCAGTGGCAATTGAATCAGGTCAAAGTGTGTGACTCATTACAGAATCTTGAGGTCTTGGAAGAAGCATTTTTCGCACGGATAGCCAAATCTGCGGAGTTCTTAAACAGAAGCGTTAAACCTGTCGTTCGCCTCTGGCAATTACTCCGATCTCTTCTCCTGCAAGTAAAGCGTCATCAGAGCCGAACAATTTGGAAAGGTCCATTATGGTCCTGCCTACGGTACCAGTATAACGATGCTTGCATGAATTGACGATACTTCCTCATCGTCTCGACTAGCTGATAGAATCACGGATAGGATAGTGGGCAGTACTATAAAGGTGAACAAAGTTGCAGGAAGGAACAGATCCGAAACTGCCCCGTAAAACCATTTTCGGGCTTGCCATTGACTGATTGGCCCCAGTTTTAGACCAATTCTCTTACAAATACCAAATGGGATTCGAAATGCTCATATCGAGATGTATCATCTAGTCTTGACCGGCGCAAAAACAGTGAATCTTTTTTAATCTAGTTTGCAAATGATGGTAAACGCTGGATTCAGCTACTCTACATTAATTTAGTTTTGCGGCATGCATACAAGCTTAGTGGTGCAAATTTATTACAAAGATTAAAAAAAATTTCGTGGAATACTTGTTCGGCGCAGACACCCAAAGCCGAATAGGAAGATAGGATAGTTAGGCCAAATCTTAAAAAAATATGGGACTAGAACCCTTTTGAAAAGGTCTCTTAATCTGAATAACTATTGACTGCACAAATTTTTAGTATTTTTTATCAGCTACAAAATGATAAGGAATACCGATATAGACAAAATCGCATTGCAACAACGAGTGCATTAGCAAAGCCGCCAATGCGCTCCGTGTATAAAATTGCACAGAAGTGAGTTGTGGTGATAATGCAAAAAAAGTTTGTGCATTTAGGGTGCACTACCGAAAAATACTGAAAGTTTATATAAATTAACATGAACCCTTACTTTTAAAATTTATTGGTTATCAGGGTCAGTGAAGTTATTGGTTGATTAAGAATAATGAATATTTCTGCGGATAAAGCTTTATCAGATTGTATAGAGAAGGGCTTATGGTCAGAACTTGAAGAAAAAATTCCTTGTTTCGAGAATGTTGACACTCTATGCTTTGTTTCCCATGTGGCTGTTTCCCAGCATAAACATCAATTCCTCAAATCTGCGGTATCAACTAAAGGTTAGAAAGTAAAAGTAGCACCGATTCTTGCAGGTTTTCCTTTTTATCAGAAGGTTGACTATGACGGGTTGTGCGTGGTACGTAATCACATTGCAACTTGATTTCTTGAATGCACATCGTTTTCAAATAAATGTTTTATTTCTACAATTTAACCATAGCCTATCTTGCATCGTGCGATTCACACCAAAGACCTGCGTACCTGTGATATACTCCTCTCTGCTGGTGCATTAGCCTTGTGCTGTGCTAAACGATGCCCATCTACTTGTCATGACACTTTGAATATCTTCTTTGGTTCAACCTCAGAATCTGATTTTGCTATTTTCGACATTGCTTGTCTTCTTATTTCCTCCTGGAGTGAGTAAAGATACCATTTTTGGACTTGTCACTTATTTATTGCTAAAGTTGCTAGAGTATTTGTTTTTGCTTTAGCGAAATTCCTGCAAAGTAAGTTGGGCCACTTGGTGTACTGATCATTCGTTAGAATTGGAAGAAGCTTCAGTCTCCGGTGATGCGGATATTCTTCAAAGCCTTTTGGAACTTTTTACTACGTCTACCTGCACATACCGAAGCTACACTGACCTCTCTTTTCACCTTGAATCTGTTGAACTCGAAGACCTTCACGACTTCACCTTCCTCTCCATGGAAGCAGATTCAATTCTTGCACGTCCCCGTAGTTCTGCAGGATCTTTTCAACGCCACAGCATTTCGTCTAGACGCAATTTTTTTAATATGATCGCGGAGGGTGCTGAAAAGGCGTTGAGTGCTATCTTCACAGTGGGGGAACAAATTCGTGGGGTAGGTGGGGAAGCGGCCATCTTTGAGACCGACCTTCTAGCTCGGCGAACTCGGAATGTAGCCGCTCAGTTGACTCAGCGCTATCTCAACCGTATGTTGATTATGTGAGTGACGATATACGAAGGAGCCAGTCTGTTAGTAAGTATTATTATCCCAGAGGGGTTTTCCGATCATTTTATTTTGACTTTATTTTTAGTCCAATTTGCCCAATGATTTCATGAGCGCGACGAATTCCCCTTAGGGCACTACCACTCATCATACACATGAATATTAGCGGTTCATAAGAACATATAGCTGGAGCCTCGTGTTGGCATTTTTTTCTCCCCTATGCTTCTTTCAGGGCCATTGAGAGGGGCGATTTCGCCATAATAAACGTGCTTTTGGACTTTGGATTTCGTCTGCAGGCAATCCCACGTCCCTCCAAGAGTCACCTTTCCTCGACAATTCCCACTGCTGATGGTATTAATCGAAGAGTGGAAGAGAAACGCGCAAATCCTATAGAATGGTGCCTTGGAGGCCCCAGTGGAGCAAGGTGGTTGGAAGTCGCTCTACACGCCAAAGACGACACCCCTCTCCTAGCGGCGATTCGAAGGAATCTCCTGGCTGGTGATGTCTTCAGTCGCCTAGTCAAGGTGGTTGCAGTCCTAAGTACTAAATTTTTAAGTGTCTGGTTAAAGATGGGGATTTTTTGCTAATCTAGAGATCACCAGTAGCATTAATTAATCTCTTATTCCTCCCATTGTTCGGTTAAGGTAGTTGCAGTGTTAGCTAAAATTGAAAGCTTTGATTAGAGCACCTAATGCGAAAAATTGCTCTTTGATAGCCACCCAGGAAGGCATAAAATGTGCTGACTTATTTTAAGGTCATGGGTACGGAACGATCGGTGATTCCATCTTGTTGGAAGGCTTCACGCGTTTGGAGGCTCAAATTGGTCGTTTCACCTCAACCACCTATTATTATAATAAATCTTCGGGTGTATGATAATAATTACCCACTTAAATCCGTTTTTGTATCACTGTCAGACCGATCCAGGATGTTTCCTTGGAAGTCCAGAGCAAGTGATATTTGGGTACGTCCGTGAGCAGGATGTTGGTACCTAATCTACTTTCGCTACCCATCCGACTGTTTTGTTACTCGGATATAACAAGGTCTGTTATATTTTCCAGCTAAACTGTTGCTTAATGACGGAAGGAAATCTAATTACTGTCGACTCAAGAACATCCTATATCTATCTCACTAGCATTAAACTTAACTAATCTGATTGTAACACACGATTTGGTCACTATAGTTACCACCTCTAAACTGATAGAGAACACATGACATAAACAGGTAACTTTGGTAGGAAATATGCTAAGCCGCGGTTCGATGTAAACTTTCAAGAATTCATCGCCTTGTAAAAGCCACCGGCTGCAGTCATGTGTTTCAAGGCGAGAGGCATAAACTAATCGTGAATCCAACTTTTAAAATAGCTGGTTGGCACTCATTCACTTCATAGTCTTCATTAGTCGCTGAAGTGCTGAATTCTTATCCATTCTTTGTGTCTCGCGCTCTCATTTAATTTGAACAGTTGTTATTTGATGGTGATGCTGTCGGAGTGGTTCATATTTGGCCAATTTTACTAATTTTCACTGATTTCGTACCTGTGGGTGCGGAAGCAAAAAACCCAATGATTTTAGCCTTGAAGTGCTTTAAAGAATTTCCATCATTTAATTGAATTTGCGTGAATTTTATTAACACCTAGGCCGCAAAATTAAGAGAACCCTGGGTGTCATGCTGAGTACGACAAAACGAGGTATTCTATTGCACTGAGACTGCTGCTATTCTCATTGGCCGGTTTCAAGGTCACAGTGGCGAGGAACCAATCATTAAACCCTCGAAGTGACCACGTAGGGCCCGCAGGGCATCCTCCGCCTCGGAGGTGCTAAGGGCAAGGTCTAGTCAAAAAGCAACCACTTAAGTTGAATTAATTAAAAGTTTAAAAGGTTTGGAATTTTTAGTTGATCTTCTGAATTCATATAATTAAATGGTTTTTTCGCCGGAATTACTCAGCTTTTGTAAAGTTCGGATAAATTTAAGCCCTATTTGTCAAATGGCTTTTTTTGATCTACTTAGTAGTGTGTTTTCGCATTTAAAGGTTATAGATTTTTTTATGTCAAAGTTGCTCCATCTTGCTCTTACATTTGGTTCATCCCATAGGCCTTTCCATATTCAGAACCAAGACGATGCTTATTTTGACTGCGTTTCTCTGTTCTAAAGCCTTATTCTAGGTACACGGGCATAAGCAGAGAATATCGGTAAAGGTTTCCTTTGTAGAAAAGCCCTCTGCAGTCTACTAATAGGAAAGGTGGTGGTTGTCGATGTTGACGTTTAGTAGTCATTTCTAGGCGAATTCTCGGTAGTCTTAAACTCTGGTGACATCCAGGTGTAAAAACTGTTTTTTTGTCGAAACACCCTTAATTCTTGACTTATAGCAGCGTCTTTGAGCCTACTCTTCCGGGGGCGAAACGCACCATATTTTTTCTCTAAAGTGCTTAAGCGGCAGCAATTTGTTTACTCTATTTAGCTTCTTCATTTTTTCTAGCACCAAATGAAAGTAAAACTTGCGAAACTATTTATTTGTTCAGCACTTTTTTCATGTAAGTTATAAAAGTGTTCCTGCTACTTTTTACTGCTTCCTAAATGACTTTTGATGACAAATGACCCTCCCCTACATAATTCACTATCCCCGGCACATCTCACCACCCTGGAAGGTGTATTTGCTTTGCATTTGGTGTGCTGTAGATGCAATTGTTTCTCTGCTAGTTTCTTGCCTACATCTACTCAATGCGACTTGAATGTGTGCTAGGAAGCCTTCTTCAGGCGATTCGTACTTTGGGCTGTCTCATTCCATCTTCCATATGCTTCAGTATTTCTCCATATTTTCTCACCAATTAACAATGGCATGCGGACCAAAAAAGGCAAGCGGAAAATAAAGGTGTGGCAGAAACGGAGGCGCCTGAAACTAGGCTGTTGCCTTCATGGACCAAAGCACTTTACAAGAGTGGAATTCTGCTGAAAGCTTGCGTCTCACTGGTGTCGCGAGAACGTACTTACTTCCTGACACCTCGATTCGTCCTGGGAATGACGCTAGGTGCGAAGTTATGGCAAAACTTCACCTTACTGTGTACACTTAAAATAGCAATAATTTACTTGCCTCTGGTAGTATTGCCCGTCTTGAAGGTTGGAAATTCGACGGCCAAATGCTTGAAGTGGATCATAAGTTAGCGAAATAAGTTCACATGGTCCTTTTGCTGGTTAGATCAGGGAGTTTCCTAAAACGCTTTTATTTTTTGATGTAGTCGATGGTAAAATGTATGGTATTTTTTAATAAGTCGCAATTTGTTTGGGAATTCCGCTTTTATAAAATGCATACTTCTTGGCACATTTCTACAAATTCGGCGCGCCATGTTCTATTTCAGCACTATCGCTACTCTTGGTATGCTCCTCTTCCTTGAAGCACTTTCCATGCAGACCAACTCTCTAAGACGGCTTTTAAGACCTGTTTGCGAAACCAGAGCTTTTTACTGCTTTAACTCTCATTTTTGCTAGTGTGGTCTCGCTTTAGCCGTTAGAATATCTCGCATTTAACGTACTTAAATAATCTCAAGTATGATTAAATCATGACTAAATGGAATTAAACCACCTTAGTGAAACTGAAGTATTCTTGATGCGGAGGTGATTGTTTAGTGACTAGTCGGTAAGAACTGCCCTGACAGGTTGCTTGTGTGGAGTGGCATACGTGCGTTAAGCCGACAATGAATCAAGCACACACATGAAATAGCAGCTAGTGGTGTGTCTTGAAGGCGACATGGATGAATAGGTGGTGTGATCAAGGCGTTTTTATATTGGCCTGATCAATAGTGGCAGTGCATTTGGAAAGTTACGTTATCAGTTGTTTATTGGTTAAAGGGAACCAATCAGAATGGCGGCAAATGGTTGGGTTGCTACGATTGGCTGAAAACGGAGTTGGTTTATGAAATTTCGGTGTTTAAGGGGGTTTTCAATACATATTTCCGATTCCTTTTTCTGTATTTCTTCAAGATTGTTTTAAACTTAAGCAGTAACTGTATTCCAATCAGTTAGTTGTCTGGCAGAGGGCATTTAAATAGTGGTGCTTGAGACTCCTTCAGTTGAAACTGGTCAGTCAGGATTAAGAATAAGGGAAATTTTTTGCCCTTTTGGTTGATAAAGAAAAATGACAACTTTATTTGAATATCACTCGTCAACTAGGTTACTTTGGTTACTGTATACTAATGAATAACCAAGTCCTTGGTAAACAATCACGCCAAGACCATTCGTTGGAAAAATAACTAAGACCACTACCAGAAAACTGATATCATTTACAGATTTTAAAGGTACCTTTAGCTATCAAAAGCAACTTTATGTTGCAAGAATTGATTTGCATATTATTTAAATTACTGACGGAAAGGGTTCTTCCCCAAAGTTCTCATATATTAAATCTTTTGAAGCAGGAATAATGGGAAGATTTGGCTCCCCTAAGTTGATCAACCTAGGAGGTTTTTGACCTATCTTATGTGAGCCGTCTAAAAAGGGTAGCTTTTGGCCTCATTTACAACTCGATTAATCTTTTTCCCTGCTTTTCCAAGGTGGGTCCCCACTTGTTGATGCTACCGAGCGCTGGAGGCATCCTGCCTGTGCATCTGATGGCCGCTCTTGGCAGGTTTGAGATGCTTTCTGCTCTTCTCGCCTCAAACAACGTGAGGTAAGAAATGCTCACTTTTTTATTCCGATTGAATCCCCTCTTATTACCCCTTTTTCGTCCTCCCGCTCCTCCATTCTTCTAAATTGGAATTAGTAGACTGACAGATTGATAAAATTCATTGTGTGGTGCTCTCTTGGCTTCTAAAGGAGTTTTGAGACACTCGAGTCTGGAAGTAGACTACAGATGAATGAGTAAGTGAGGTAGGGATGGATGAAAGATTGACAGAAGTTGTAAATGACCTAAATGTAGACAAATCGGAGGTATTATAGACGTTTAGAGGAGTCGGGAGATAAGTTGTCTAGGTGACAGCCTGAGTAGAGATGAGTGAGGAGCAAGTCAAGTGCATAGTTGTTCCAGCTATCATTACCAAATTGCACTGCAAATGTCAACCACAAATGGCTTAGAATATAATATCACCATCAAATCAAGTCGGTAATACTTAATTACTCAAGTAATTAAGTCTCTCTTAAGGTGGGTTTATCTCTAGATGGCTCCTTAATTAAGTCTTATTCACATTTAGGCCTTTTACTTGGTAGCATAAGAGAAAAGCATCGACAAGGCGGCGACGGGCGGAGAAGGGGATTGACGACCTTAATTAACAGATAAACAAGTGATTCAGAAAGGGATTGGGACATTGACAAGCAGGTTTAGGTAGACTTAATGTAATATGGTTGGATGGATCCGTGATGGGTTAGAAGGTGCGTGTACTTGTGGTAGATGGAAGAGAGGGTAGGCAACTAGATTTGGAATAGACGAATGGAGGGACTCAGGAATGGGTTATTTCTGAGTGAATCAAACATTGATGAGCGGATGGGTCGACAAATTGTTATGCGGATGCACGCAGTAATGTGGGACACAATGAATATGAGCTAGAAATGGTTCGGCTGTTGGCTAAATGAAGAGATGAAATAATATTTTCTTGAGTCGATAAAGCACGAAGGCTTTTGATTACCAGCATCTCTTTCTGCATTCCAGTTTGGACATCGTTGAAGACTGCGGCTTGTCAGCCCTCCTCATAGCGTCCTTCTACGGCCACGTTGACTGTGTTCGTGCTATTCTTGACTACCCGAGCGTCGGAAATGAGGATGAAGAGGTGGAGGAGGAGGAGGTGGGGGTGGAGGAATCTCCTGTGATGGCATCGTCAGCCTCAGCATCTTTGAAGTCCATCTCTATGGTGGAGGCTCTTCGCAGTGTGAATCTTCAGTGGCACTTTTTGAAAGATGGAGCGAACTCTGTGGTACTACCTATCCAACACAACGACAGCGGTAGTGGCGGTAGCAAATACTTCCTCGATGCTTCTTTCAATGCGCTTCATTTAGCGATTATAACGGGGTGAGAGATCTCTGTTTCTGCTAAGATGCGGTCCTAACATTACCAATTGGTTAAGCTCCAAACTTTGATGTCCCGAGTCCTTGAAAATTGTTCAAGCCCAGGCCGATTGAATTAACACAAAAACTCATTAAATTGTGTACTCAATTTAATCTCTCACCTACCTCTGCTGCAGAAACACAGAACTGGTCGAGTGTCTCCTGACCTACGTGAAGGAGGCCCCAGAGGACTATGCCGATTGGTTGACAGAAGCCGCCGTCTCCACCATCTGTTACCACGATGATGCCTCCACGATAAAATCAGATTCAGTCACTGATGAGGCTCAACCACTGGCGAATCAGGCCTATGCAAGTCTCCTCTGCAGTCCAGCTGGTCTGGCTTGCTGCCTAGACCATTTGAGTGTCGAAGGACCTTTGGTGGGTGTTATCAACTTTGTCCGAGGCGATTAACAAAACCAGTTATTCCTTTCCCCTTGTTGGTATTCGCTTTATTTTGATTAGATCCCAGAAGGTAACCAACGAGACTCTATACGGGGGGAAGTGGCTCACTTGTCCTAGCAGAGGGTCTGGCAGGTTATGAACCTGAACCGAAGACCAAGTATATCATTACGTAAATGGGGTCTTTCAAATTTTTGTCTGTCATCTACTGGCACGCGAAATGCCTGGCAGCTCCTATGACTCTCATTTCCTATGTGATCAAGATGAGCTCGTTTTGTGTAGAAGACAAGTCGAAATCACTTCCACCCAGTTCAATCCACGTTCTCTGACATGAGGGCTTGTTAAAGAGGAGGGGAAATCGGCAGAGACCCCAATAAAGAGTACCGTGGTGCTGATTGCCCAAGGCCATTCTATTCCTGTTTTTGTGCATCATACTATCTGATTTCTTTTCTTAAACCTTTAAGCTCGCCAAAAAAATGCTTTGTCTCCTCTCCACCGTTCAAACTCGAAAGGCATCCGTCGAAAACGCCCTTCTGCATTATCTCTTAGATTCTCAACGCTACAACCTAGTTGGGGGTTTGCTCTTTCAACAGCACCATCGAACCAATAAGACGCTGATAGACTGGTCCAACCGTCTCTTGTGTCAACACCTCAATGCTGATGCTCGAGATCCAGACATTTTTAGCACCCTTCTCACTGATTGGCTCTCCTGGTCATCCCTAGAGGCTCTCACCAAACTCAATCTCTCAAACAATGCCATCTCCAGAATACCCATGTGTTTACTCACTCAGCTACCTCATTTACAGGTAGTAGTCTTTTGAGAGTGCTTTTTGTAGACTTAATAAAAACCATTTCACTCCTTTTTCTTGGTCTCAGGACTTGGATCTCAGTCACAATGACATCGTAGCGCTTCCTGATTTTGCTTCACTGGCGTCGGTCTTCACCGCAAATACAACCTTAGCTCCGAGTTTGACCCGCCTAGATCTGTCAAATAATGCTCTCATCACTCTTCCTCCTTGGATTTTTGGTGTTGTGGTTGGAGCTAATGAAGGAGGCGGAACTCCCCTTATGCGCGATAGATTGGCCAGCGCAAAGAGCGGAGTTGTCAAACCTAATGGTGGAGCTCTCGGTGGAGTGACTTTCGCGCCTCGTCTATCCATCCTTCGAGTGTGTAGTAATCAATTGCGGAGTGTGCCGCGACAAATGTGGCTGGCCAGACAGTTGCAGTGTCTCGATCTGAGTGCGAATAGCCTCACTGAACTGCCGCGAGCCTCAATTGAGGAGGTTTTGAGTGCGGCCGTGCTCCGATCTGAATCACCTCCTGACCCGGTGAGTCAATTTTGAGCGTTGTTCTCGACGCTTGCTGTTGTGTTATACACGCTTCGACGCTGGTCATCGTGTCGCAAACTGTGGTAGTTGAGCACTTTGAAATCATCCGCCACTGAGGCATGAATGAGAGAATGATGGACTTGAATCTCATTGCGAAGATGATCGAGTTTAATGTCACTACAATTTCTCTTGCCTTTAGGACGTGAACAGAGCAAGGGATCTCTCTTGTCTGCCACACCTTCCAAATAGTATTCAGTTTATCACCATGCTAAACTGCACCAAAGATGCTGGAATTCCGAGCTCCGGTGAGTTCTCCAGTCACCATATGAAACCCTATTTCACAATACCCCTAATTATCTGTTTTCACAGGACTTTTCATGCATTTTGTAACTTTTTATTACAAAGTATCTTTGGCTATTTCCAATCAATCTACTACCCAACCCACATTTCTAAGGCACGCACTTTTCACAGCCTCCGCCGTCATCATCGATGATCCCGGCACCGTGGGTCATCAGAATAGGGGTCTACTGCACCTCTGGCTCCAAGGCAACCGTCTTCCTCGCCTTCCACTCGCTGAGCCTACCTCAACTCGTCAGACGAGCGATGAGAAAGGTTTGCAGGATGGCGTAGGTCTGGTCCACTTGGCACCTGCTCTGACCAGCCTGGATGTCAGTGGGAATCGGTTGACTGGACCTTTTCCCCCTCCTGCCCTCTTTCCGCCTAATCTTGTTCATCTAGATCTCTCCAACAATCGCATCTCGACTGTGGCGGGTGGACGAAATGCAGGCGATGGTGGTGAAGCAGGAGGAGGATTCCAAACGTGAGTAGTTTAAGGTGTTTGGTAATTATATCACAGGAGCCTCCTCTCTTACGTGTCTATTTTGGCCTATTTGCTTCTTCTCCGCCTACGAAATCTTAAATTAAACAAGATTTTCACATGTGTTTTTCTTTGATATGTTTTAGTTCAAACGTCGGGGCGCAGAAAGCTTCGGTGATTTTGGATGGTCAACTGAAGCACCTTTTCCACCTCAACCTTCGAGGCAACTGTATCTCCGTTTTCAACCCAGTCTCTTCTCACGGTGTATGTTGTTAATAGGGGGATATTTAGCCATTCTTGCAGCGATTTATATCCCCTACTTCCTTTTTTCTTATTCAAAGTGTTTCTTCAGACTGGCACTTTCTCTTACTAGGTGTGGAAGTTGACCAACTCTCTGTGCTACTCGCACAGCTTTTAAGTAGCATCCTTTGCATCATCACTATCGCGCATTTTTTTGAATTTCCTTGCAGAATGAGAGCGGAGGAGAAGCGCTGCTATGGTTTCCAGAGTTGGCAAGTCTTGATTTGTCCGGAAATACAAATTTAATCAGTCTGGGATCGGCTGTGTGTCGACTGGAGAAGCTTTCCTCCCTTGAATTGGATGGATGCACAAGTTTGACCGAGGTGTGTTGCATTTCTATCGAGCCGCTGTGGACTCAGTTATTTACATCAGGCGTCTTTCTTCCATCGTAACCAGTCGATTCAGTTTGATGCCTAATAGAAATAGCAAAAGCTTCTGTATTCCAGTGAAGAGATGAGAGACATGAGAGCTAGCCCTTGGGGATGTCACAGGATTTAAAAAGAGGTCAAGAGGCCAAAGGAGGGACCGTGTATCACCATTATGATCACCTGATTCACTGGAGGTCGAAAAATAGTGTTTAAGCCAGTTCATCAAATTAAACGGTGTGACATTCACTTGAGGCTTTCTATTTTAGCTACCTCCAGATCTATGGCGTCTAGGCAAGTTAAAATCTCTGACTCTCTTCAACACACCCGCCTACGAGCGATTGGTGCGGGAGATCCGAGCTGGTGACGACACCGCTGTTCGCAAGAGCAGTCGACACGCCATCATTAATCAGCGTCGACGTGTTGGAAAGTCACCACTCCTGTCAACTCTCACGGATGGAGTCACCGCCGGTACTGCTAATAACACCACGTCTCCTGCTATGCCGATCCTTAACACCAAGACAGTGTTGGACTACCTCAAGTCGCTGCCGCGCAGGTATGCTACAGTTCAGCTCATTTCCCTCGTTCATTACTCATTCAGCCCATCTGTCTATCTCCCCTGATCTTTTCACCTTGCCGGTTTCTTGTTTCAAATAGTCCACACATCGTTGAATGTAATCGTGCTTCTTTAATCAGAAGCAAGGGGAATTCACTCTCTACTTCTCTTTGAGTTGCTCATACTATAAGTTATCGTAAGCCCTTTTTGAATTGCTATTTTTCCCTTTTTTCAGCTCAAGGCCCTACAACAAAGTTCGTTTGATGTTAATTGGATCACGAGGAGTGGGCAAAACCAGTCTGCTGAAAGCCCTTCTCCGTTCAGAAGGTCAAGACGTTCAAGTGAGCCCTTGTTTAACTACTTCAAATTTGATGTTTTCTGCATCTTCCTCCATACCTCGAGTCACTTTTCTTCTGCATCGTTCATTCTGGTGAATTTGAGTCACCCTCTAGACACCAGCGAAGATCCTGCCTTTAGTCCCCTTTGTATCTGGAAGGTTTTCAAGCCCAACTGTAGTCACGAATCCCCGATTAACCGGTTTAAATACACCTCTAAAACTGGGGACACAGAACCATAAGTACTTCCACCAATCTGTTTAGCTACACGTGATTTGGTGCGACCGGTGGTGATACAGTGATGAATGCATGTCACATATCTGTGACGCTAGGATTAGGTGAACAATCTTGCTGTCACTTATATGTGACGTTGGTAGCAAAGGTCTTAGGAGTGATTTGTGCTTATTAGATGTGCAGTCAAAGTTGACACGTTCAAATTGAAGTAAAATATGCGAAATGTCCTGTAAAGTGTTGAGATTAAATGATAACACAACTACTTTTCTCAACAGGAATAACATTTTGCATCGAAAGGAACTTTTGAATGAAGTCTGTTTTTGCGCAGTCCATGAGGTACTTGAAGTGCCGACGCAAAGGCATGCTTATTTTAATTGCGTTTTTGATGTCGCGTGTTTTTTAGTCCACGGTTTCGGTCGTCATCTTGGCTTTGTGGCGTCATATTCACTGTTAAGCGCATTAATCTTACATTGAACGCACGAAGTAGAGGCTGAAATTCCCTCATATTTATTTATCCTTTTATCCAGCATCAGACAGAGGGTGATGATGGGAGACTTTATAATGCACTGCCTGACGGGAGGAGATAATGTTGAATGATATTTTTGTATAGTTTTGGTCATACGAACCCCTAATTTCCGGGTCAAATCAACCGTGATGACGTTTCAACAGGTCCTTATCACCAACATCATTGACATCGATCTTCTCTATATTTTTCTCCCCTAAAAGTCATTTTTCGCATAGGAGTGTCTGCCACCTTATATATCTTTCCTGATTTGATCCTTTAGAAGCCCTCTTTTTTGTTTTCAATCCCCAAACAATCTCGAACGTCTTGAAACTCGTAATTTACCTCAGTTCCCTTATTTGCCCAACATCACTTATGGATAGGCTGCACGTGCGCCAGTAGTCCTTGTGGGGCCTGGACCAGGCAAAATACTGTAAATAGGCGAGAATGGAGCCATCTTCTCATCAGTACTCAACTAGTGGTCACTCGTCGGGAAATAAAGATACCCTGATTCTCTTAAGTATTTGGTTGGGGAACTTGACTTTGGCTTTCATCTTTTTCCTATTTACCAAATAAAAATATTTGATTCTTGCAGCAGTAACCGTCTGTAGGAGGTGTGGTCAGTGAAAAGAGCCCTTTTTAGATGCCAGGTGCTGTCATTGGGGAGCATCTTTCATCCTTGTAGACAACTCTATTGGTCTTGACACCACTTTGTATCACTAAAACGGCAGTTTCGATAAGTTAGCCAGGCTGCTCTCATAGTTGGATTGTACGAGACGAAAAACGTGGTAGCAGGTGGTCGATTCTTCTAGCATGACAATATGGCCTTTTTTCCCTTCTCTCCTTCCAAATAAACGTGTCACATACGTGTGACACACAAGCCTAGGTAAGGAAGTGGGAGCGTCATTTATGTGACACCCTCGTGGCGAGCTCGTTAACTCATGATTGAGAAGTTGGAATGGGAGAATAAGGCTATTGACTACTTGCTATTCCATCCAGAAGAGCAAAAAATGGCAAGAACTCCACGTTGGAGGTCTTTACTGCCCCAACGCGGCCTATTTACATCTTTTAAAGTAACATGGACAGCAAAGAAAGTATTGACACACCTCAAGTGCACTAATACGGGGATCGGCCAACCAGAAATGGTACAGAATACAAGCTTCTTCTAGAAAGTTCTATAAATTTGGCTGTCTGTAGTCTTGTGATATAAGCATTCTTCTGGGGTTACAAACATCCTCAGGGGAGATGCCAAGCGCAAAGCACTTCGTATCAATACATTTTCTTCCACTGTTCTTTCCTTCTCGATAACTCAAATACAAATGAACTATCAGGACGCAGAAAACTCGGCTTCCACCTCCAGTGTGACCTTGACCCCACTTAGCATCACTCGACACTGTCCCACGGAGCGTGCGCGGAATGAGTGGACGGAGACGGTTAACTTCACGGTCTGGGACTTCAAGAGTCCTGAATCCGCTCATTCATCGTCGCCCATCGCAGCAATGGTGGAGGAGGTGGAAAGTGTCATGTCAGCGGTTCAACAGTTCTCCATGTCTCGAAGTACCATCTACGTGGTGGTATGGAACGCAATGGACGCGCCAGATGCTCTTCACGGGGTCGCAAGACATCTTGTAGCTATTCAGGTAGGTGTTAATGCTTGAGACACTGAAAGTGTAACTACGACGCGATTGGGTCTTCGTTGGGATTTTTAGCTTCTCTCTCTGACTGGGGATTGTAAAGATCCAACGACAACACCAATCCGCCATATCCCTTCAAATGACGCTTCAAACATAGGCGTGCTCAAAGAATGCGAATCAAGGGACCCAGACGGCTGACAGGATCAGCAGAACTTTTTGGCTATCCACTTCTAGGTTGCGCAGACTGTATGAGAAGGGGCGGACTCTAGCGTTAGACAAGATCCAGGGCTTAAAACCCTCTCCACCGTTTCATTGTCGACTACCGCATTGATATTTTGCGGTCTTGTGTAGGAAATCCAGAAACCCATAAAATTCTATGTAAATTCTATGTAAGTCTTAGCGGGCACTAATATGACCGTATAGATTGGACCAAAGACGCCAGCTTTATTGAACCAAAAGGTGACTTTTCTCCTCTCCCATTACCTCAGACTAGAGCATCGAACGCACCCGTTCTGGTGGTTGCCACCCACGCTGACGCAACGACATCGTCGGAGGTTTCGGACCTAGCTGAACGCTGCTTTATTCGGTGTACTGACCCCGCCTCGATGGGCCTGTCACAACAAATCGTCGGCCACTTCCTTGTGGATTCTCGTTACAGTACCTCTGACAATTACAACAGAGAGGCTCTTTATCACCTCGTCACGGCGATTCACCACTCCGCGAACTATCTACGGCCACCATGTACGCGCCTAATACGTCCCATTTATGGTTGCGTAATTTGAAAACTAAAGTCTGCGATGAGACTAGCAACAATAGGCGTCTATTTTACTGGTTTAAGCTCAACCACTTTGTTTTTGAGACGTGATCAGACTCAAGCATGGTTGCCATAAGCTGGTAAAGTAAATATGTTGCTGACTTTTAACTTGAGGGGTCCGATTTTAGTTTTCACCCTTTTGCAGTTCGAAAACCAATAATTGGTGCGAAGTTTGAACCGGGCCGGCAAAGGCTGTTGAGTTTCCCTGTACCGCTGGTGTATCATGAGCTGGAGGAAGTCACGCGTGACCTTGCAAGTGATCTTCATCGTGTTGGCATCCCACCGATTGTCAGTCTGGATGATTACGTGTAAGTTAAAGATCATTTGGGGGATGTATCCACTGTCCAATTGATTCCTGCTCTTTGGCTCAGTGATTACTCTGATTGGGTCATTTTACCTGGTCAGGAAATCGTTTGATCATGAGCTGGTATGCACTTGTCACATTATCTAGAGACTTAGGTGGAATTAACTCTTTCCTGCTTTGATCTCTTATTGATGTTTATATCCAAATGAAGTCAGTTTTCACAAACGCAGATATTTTGTGTTGTGCTCAATGTGGATTAACACGAGGTTTTGATTGGTTGATTTTTTAACTGATTATTTGATTGGCCAACTTCGTTTATAGCGCAATTCGTCGTGCTCATTCAGTTGAAAAGCCGAATAGCATGACGTACTATAAGAAATCTTTGGTCATAAATATGGTAATTTAGGTATTATAACACAATAGTCGAATTGGAAGTGAAATGCATTCTCATTAAACAGGTGTAGAGATTAGAAAAACGTTATTGGTTTTATGGAAAAGTGTTTAAGAAGCGCAGGGCAAATGACATCTGTCCTATATTCATCTCTCTCGTATCCATTCACCCATCCATTCCCTCCGTCCAACCACTTGAAATTCATTTATCCGTCCGTCTTTTTTATCCAATTAACTTTTTTGTTTTGTTTCCACCTATTTTGGGCAAATTTCATTGACCCTTTGATTATTGCTTTTGATCTCGATGCTTTTAGAACCGAGGTGAATAGCCGTCTACAAGCAAGCAGCGGATTTGACAGTTCCGAGGAGGTCCGTTTTGCCCTGACCTTCCTCCATGAAATCGGTCATCTTCTCTATTTTTCCAATCTCAGTCGTGCCGTTGTTCTGGATCCCATTTGGCTCTGTGATCTTCTAGTGCGACTTCTGATCACCCCGAGCACGGCTCCTACTCGAGCTGGTACCTATTTTGTGCTTATATAATTGTTCTCTGCTGTTGTATGAATTACTTCTGGGAATATTGTAAAGCACGCTTGTCTGTAGGTATTTTCGTTGAAACTGGAAGTTCTGGTGGTTTAGATGGTAGTGAACCAGCACTGTCAAATATACACTCATTTCACCACTGTAAGTGTCTCATTTGGCTTCCTTTAAATTAGTTATCAACTTGTTGTCGAGCCTTCTACGGAGCTTGAAGTTAGGATGGTTGCTAAAAGTCAACACAATTTTCTTGTCTTAGCATATTCATACATCTATGGGAGTTGCCTTTCTGTATTACTCAACTGGCTATGTTTTTTTTGCTTTGCAATGGGTCTGCTTGACGTTGCTAACAACAACGAAGACTTTCGATGATAGTCTGAATGCACATTTGTTATCAATGTGTAGGCGAACCATGCGATATAGCGTTTCCTTTTTCCTCCCCTATAGGTGTGTTGAAGCTTTCGCGTTTAAAGGACCTTCTTGTCGTTCCTATGGTTTCCACTGAGGCCTCTTCCGTGGACGCGGATCGTATAATGCATCGTTTCCAACATCTGGAAATATCTTTCGCTCTCACCTATCTGGTCGGGCTGTTAGCTAAGTTTGAGCTGGCAGCACCACTTGACTCTCATCACCTTCTAGTGCCTGCTTTGCTGCCTCTTAGAAATTCAGCAAATATTGTTGCTTCCAATAGACAAGTAGGTCGCCCTCCAGGCTTTCCATTCAATTACTCTAGATTCGAATTACTCCTTTGAATCTGGTTATGGATAATGAGAAAGAGGGAGAGGTGGAGCTGGAAGGACTGTTAAGGGATTCGGATCCCCTGAACTGTTCAGTTTTTACCCTTCCACGGGGAAAAAAGTGGGCAGCTTCGGTTTCACCATTACAGCCGGTATTAGCCAGCGATCTTCAGGACCAATTAGCCCAATCTTCGGAACCAGTAACAAGTTCTCGTCGACATAACATTTTCTCGAAGTTTGCTGCCTGGCAGGTAGGTTTGGAGTGGCATTTTAATTGATTTTGAATGAAGCGTGTTTTGGACTTTTCCTATTTTTGATTTCTTAAGCGCTTAATTTTTGAGCTGCAGTACTTCCCCCAAGCCTTGTTGCATTCTATACTACGGTCTTTAGAACAATCTAGTTCCACGGGGTCTCTGTTTGAGTAAACCGAAAACTGTCACTAACAGTACGACCGCAGCCACATCGTTCTTTCAACGTAACGATCGAACGCGTCGTCCCACCCCTCGAGGTGGCTGGCCCACCACCCTCCTACAGCCTCAGACGCCGTTATGGAGGCTGCGTGCTGCACCGCGGGCTAATGAGGTGTTGCGTGTCTACGCGTTAGCCTATGTGCCCGCTGGGTTTTGGACACGACTCATCACCCGTCTTCTCACCGACACTGATCTCAACAATGTCTGTGGGTGGGTCACGTTTGGCCTGTGTCTACTTATTTTGCACAAGTAGTATAAGTGTTTGATAGTTGAATTATGTGCTTGTTTTTGCTTCCTCAGTACGAGGATCGTCCAAGTTAAGATGGGATCTTTGAATTATCA